CCTGAAAATTTCAGATCGATCGGAGCACTTTTCAAACCCGGGGATATTTAGCGGCCATCCCCGGGTTTTGCGTTTTCATTTTTTAGCCGCCTGATATAGGTAAAGTGTGTTGAAACCCGGGTAAGATGAACGAGTTTGATTTTCAAATTTTGCACAGCATCATCATTATGGCCAAGGATCATGGGATAATTTTTTCGAAGACAGGGGGGGGGATGGTGACGATCCGTTCCCCCCCCCCCCCAAATAAATTCGGCTTTAGCTCGGAACCCGCCATCGGGTAGTTTTCGTAACTATTCTTAGGAGGAATTGAGAGAGATTAAATTGATAAATTGATGGGGCGGAAAGGGGCGGCGTATATTTCTTGCTGCGGTGCTGCGGGACTGTTCAGGGTAACATGCGCATTATTTGAACGCACAAAACGTAAAACCTTCGTGTTCACAAACCTTGGTGTTGCGCTCGAGTACCTTGACCAAAAGCTGCACGATGGATGCAATCACGCTTGTGGCCTATACCTTCGAGGTTGGCTCCTCCCTTCTTGAGCGGTGCGGGCTGGTGAAGCAGTGCCATACCGAGTCCGGTCGCATCGCAGTCCGCGCCGCCCGCGTGTTGGGTGCCCTCCAGAGAGCCTCGGATGCGTTCTCCTGCAGAATGGAGTTCGAGGCAAGCCTGAGGGAGCTCAAGAGGGTGCTGGAGGAGGCGCGCGATCTCGTCTCCCGCTGCCAGATGGCGAGAGGTGTCGGCGCGAAAATCGGTGCTCTGATGGGAGCCAACTCTCTGAAAGCGGGGTTGGTGCGAGTGGAAGGCGACCTGGACCGCGTGGCGGCGGATCTCCAAATTCCGATGTTGACGGATATACGAAGAGCTGTGCAGTGCATCAACGAGAGGGAGAGCGACGCGGCCGCCAGCCCTTCCGGTATAGACGCCGAGATGCTCGAGCAAGCCGTGCGCGACGCGATCCGCAAGGAGCTCTGCAACGCCAGCCAGGGCCGAGCGGTTGATGACATAATCAAAGACAACCTTTCCAAGCTTTACGAGGCGGAAGCGGCAGTAGCGGCGGACCAGCAGGGGTATTCCTCTCCACCTGGCGGAGCGGGAGGGAGTCCTGTGCTCTGCTCCGGACACGGAGAGGAGTGTGCACTCCGCACGACAAAGAAAGAGGTACGCGCAAAGAATGGGCGGTCCATCAATACGGCGGAACTTCGCTGCTTTCTTCCCTTCTTCGCGGCAAGTCATTAGTCTACTCGGATGTTGTTTTTCTTCACATTAAACTCGTTGTTTGTTTGTTGTTGTTTCTCACATTAGCTCTAAAAAAAGACCGTGGTCTCAAAACCCGGCATACACGACCCCACGAAGAAACAGAAAAAAATAGGGTACAAAAACCACTCGGAAGAGAAACAAAATGATAGAAAGAAAGACCAGCTACCGCACCAAACGAGAAAGAGCGTCGAGGAGACCGATCAAAATAAAATAAAAGGAGAACGGGGAACGCTTCCCACACCCGCCTACAACGCC